CCAGCCCAGGCTACAAAGTGAGTTCAAGGCCAGCCTGACCTGCATAGTGAGACCCTGTCTCAAAAAAACCAAAAAAAAAAAAAAAAAAAAATTCAAGATAAAGGCTAGTCCTAACCCAGCTCCCCACCAAAAATAAAATTAAGAGATTTACAAATCAATAAATAAATGAGCAAACAATCACAAAAACTAAGGACATGAATAGGCAATTCACAAAAGAAAAAAATTAAAATGCTAAATAAACATGTAAAGATATTCAAGTTCATAGGATTGAATAAGGATAAATGAGATCATGTACTGTGTCTAGTATACAATAAATGTGTCTGGTGTACAATAAATATTACAGTGCCTAAAAATGAAACTACTAAAATACAGCTAATAAAGAACTATTCAATGGCAGATTTAAATATATAAATAATAAATGAATAAATACACACACATATTTGTATAGGTATGTGTGTTCTGTATTCATAAAATGAGGATTGAAAACACAGAAAACTTATGATGCACAAAGCTGGAAAAAATGTGGAGAAAAAGGCCCTCTCATAACCCATGGTAGGGATGTAAATAGACATACCCTTTTCAGGAAGTAAGAAGTAGTTAGCCAAAATCTTCTAAAGTTTAAAAATTATATATTTTTTATTTGATTCAGTAATTTCACCACTGAAATCTGTCCTACAGAAATAACAGTATAAAGCTACCTATATATAACTATTCATTGCCAGGCTATGATAGAGAAAACCTGAAAATAGTCCTCAAGTTCATCAATAGAGTATTAGTCTAAAAAATCATAGAAAATGTAGCAGAAAAAGAAAAAAAAAGAAAGAAAATGTAGCAGATACAGTTATACTGACATGTCCAAGAAAAAAATAAATCACAAAATTTTTAAACTTCTTAAAAGGAAAGGATTAGACCAGGTAAGAAATACTTAATCTGATGTCTTCCATTTATATTTCAAAAGTACCAAAACTGTATGCAAAACCATGAGTTCATGTACATATGCAAGTGCATTTTCTTTTTTTTTTTTTAAAGCATTTGTTAACATTTTAATGAGCCCCTGTCCTGTGGCTTCAAGCCACCAGGACAGAGGCCCCCCAACACCCTTAATCTTCTCCTTAGCTCTTCTGCTGAAGAATTTGGCTTTCACAGTGACGGGCTGCTTTGGAAGCTTTCCCTTCCCAAGAACTTTGCAGTAGCCGGATTGCACTACATCAGTGACGGCAGCTACTCCAGTCTTGTTTTTGACAGCATTTACTTGTATCTGCTCACTGACCAGTGTCCACAGTGTATTAAGGTTGACAGTGAGGCAGAAGCTCTGGTTTCTCTTTAAGGGGTAATGAATGCCTTATACCAACCTTCCCAAAGTAACCTGGGTGATACTTGTTGAAGTTGATCCTGTGGTGATGCATGCCACCCGCATTACCCAGGCCTCTGGGGTGCCTCTGCTGCTTGCCTATGGGGCCATGGCTGTGGCTCACATGGCCCTGAAGCTTCCAGGTCCTCCTTAGTCTGGATGGCACGTTGGCAGCCAGGATGAAAGATGCAAGTGCATTTTCTAAGAATCCAGAGCTTTTAACTGAATTCCTAACAAAACATGTGACTTCCAATAGAGTTACTAAATAATCACTAAAAAGCCCCATGAGCTCTGAGTATCTGAGAAATGTAGTTAGGTTATATCCAAATAAGAAAGCCTTTGGGGAGAAGACAAATTTTCTCAGTTAAGCTTTTAAAACATATTAAGTGCCAGAACCACAAATTTTATCTCAAAACTCCTAAATCTAAGGGTGTGAAGGGAATTATTCTTTAGATGAGCCTATACTCATTCACCAGTTAATTATAAACTTCATCCAAGAATTAAAGACAAGAGTCTTCAAAATGTGTGACTGTTCATACTGAGAATACAGTTAAAGTAAGATCACAAAAAAGCAAAGAAAAAGATTAAATAGTAATCCCATTGCATGCCGTCGAGAAGCTGATGTGGTCTATACTCATCAGTACTCATACATGTAAAAAAAAGTTGAGGAATTATGCAATTTTAACATTTTTTTAAGATATGTGAACTAAATTAAGACAATTAGGTCTTATAGTTTTGTACCCTTTAAGCATAAATAAATCCTTTTCTGGACGCAGACGGGTCAATAAGAGCTATACTTTCAGAATGACTATTTTAAACATTATAGGCACTTTGAGAATCAATGGGATTTAATGAACACTGAAATTAATAAAAAGAAAATAGCAGGTGTACTCTTCTAAAACAAAAAATAAATCTCAGAACAGTGGTTTTCAACCTGAGGTGATTTTGCCTCCTAACGTGAATGCGTTTTTGATTATTGGGACTGGGAAGGTGCTGCTGGAATCTTCTGAGTAGAATCAGGGGTACACAGTTTCTCCCCTGCTCAAAATGTCAACAGTCCTGAGGCTGAGGAACTCTGTTTGTAAGTAGGCTTGGGGGAAATCACTGAACCTCCACTCTGAGGTAACCAACTTCATCACAGAAATACTAAAAACCACCAACTGGGTTTGCTCATTTATTTAGAAATACTGACACCTTGCCAACTAGCTTAAGATGTATTAAAACACACAGTTTTCAAAGTGTTATTTAAAAGAAAAGTTAATAACTGGCTCCTTAATTTATCCAATTTTATTGCAATTTTATTGCAATTTTGACACAGCTGTATAAAAAAACTACAATGAAACTAAGAAAAAAGTTTTTATACATACTTTCCCTATGACTCTCACAATACTGAAAGAAACGGGACATACAAGAATACATTTTGCATGATTCTATTTATATAAAGTTCAAGAGCAGACAAAAACTGATCGTGTTAGAAATCAGAAAAGCAGTTCTCTTGCAAAGAAGAGAAAGGTAGAGATGGGAGAGGAAACAAGGAGGACTTCTGGAATATGTTCATAATTTTGCATTTCTTAATCTGGGCGGTAGTTATGTAACTGTGCATCTTGCGACAATCCATCAAGCTGCATAAGAAAAATGTGTGCACTTTAACTGTATACAAATAATACACTAACAAAATGTTTTGCTTTTTAAATATTACATATTTATATCCTAAAAGAATGAACATTTTGATCCAGAAAGGTCAATTCATATCTAGTACAAAAGTAAAAGTGTTTTTGGGATAGGCTGCCTTCCAAGAATTCAAAAAGGATGACACCCCCAGAAGGCTGTAAATAGCATACTCAGCGCTCATACAGCATTCAGCTGTACACTTAAGCCGCTATATACCCCTCGGCACCAATCCAGAAGTTTGACAAACACTAACACATGCAGCTGAATTTATTCCACGGACAAATTTGTTTGGATTATATCCCTTAGTGCTAAACTGTGAACTGTTATCAGAGTACAGGCTCTCCGAGATAAATGGTGCTTTCTCTTCCCTAATCCCACGTGTTCTCAAAGCTCCCCCAAACTACAACTTTCGTGGTCCTTCAATTCCTTATGATTTCTCCAGGCAGTTTCTAACAGAGCCCACCACTGCCTCTTCCAGGACCCACCCTCACACTCCACCTCCCACACATACAGAAACTCACGTTAATACTCAACCTGTAGACACAGGTTTACCCTTTCCCAGGACCTTATAATACAACACCTCACTACTCTCAAACACCTGATACTCTCCCCAAAGTCCCTACCCAACAAAACCAGGACACATGAATCCCAGTCTTTTCAATCTTCTATCACAAAACACGTTGTTTCCAGAAACAATTCTGCCTCCCTACGCAATGGCTACCACAGGGGCTATAATCGCCAACTTTTTGCTTCCCTTTAGTCCCCTCCCCCTGTCCTACACGCGAGTCCCTTCCCCGGCTCCTGCACTCTCTCCCCACCACCTCTGCTTTCTTCTTCAGACTCCTTCTGAAGCGCCCCAGCAGGGATGGAAAGTTACAGAGAAAGTATAAAGGAACCTGCCCTGTCATGTGTGCATGCATGGGCTACAGAGTCAGACGCTTGATTCTGAGACCTATCCACACTACTTAGCAACTGTAAGGCTTTGGACAAAATGAGGATTAAAAAAAAACAACAGCTGTCTCGGAGTTCTGAGGACTCAGTGGACTAAAGGCCACAGAGCACTATGACAAATCCGGCAAGGTGAGCACTGGATGGCTACGAACAGTTTCTCCTGGTCTTCTTGAACGGAGGAGTAAAAGGAAGGTGAATAGTAAAGGATATTTTAACTCTCCTCGATGCTTAGACTACTCTAAAGGAGGGCCACGGATAGGAAGGAAGAAGTACTCTACAGATAACGCGGCGGTCACGAAAAATTTCGCTAGATCCCCAAGAATTGCGTTCCCTCTTTCTTAACCCCTACAGTTTAGATCCAAGAAGCTTCCAAAGCCCTAAAGGATGGAAGCGTGGATATATACATTAAATCCTCCTTCCAGATACTCACTGGAGAGGGAAAAAAGGAAAGTATCGCGTTCCTTACTATGATGCGTTCCTTGGGATCTGAGACTTGAAAGGGAACCCCAAAGTCCCAAACACATTTCTCTAGGGCTGAGAGGTGCACTTCCTAAGGGACAAGGAGAGTAAGTGCTAGACCCTAACTCCTCGCGGTTCCGCAGCCAGTCCCGACGGGTTTCCTCGGGTGGGAGAAAGGGAAAGCGCCCCCGCCGCGCCTCGGGGACGGCACCTCCCCGCGCCTTCCGCGGAGGGCTGAGGGGAGGGTCCGCGCGAGGGGATCCCCGGCTCCCCGCAGAGCGAGCCGACCCGAGGACTTTCGCGGGCTCTTCGCGGTCTCCCCCAGAGCCAGGACGCGGACTCTCCAGGGACCCGGGGTCCTCCCGGAGGTTCGGCCATCGCGGGACCCCTCCCCTCGCAGAACCTCCTGACAGCCCTGCTCAGACCTGCGAGCTCCCCAGGCCACTTCTCCCGGGCTCCGGGCTTGCGAGGCGTCAGCCGGAGCCCGCGGGGTCTCCAGCTGGAGCCCACGGGGTATCCAGCCGGGTCTCCCGGGTCCCCGCCCAGCGCCGCGATCCAGCAGGCTCACCTGCTGGGACGGCAGCTCCACATGCAGGGCCCGCGCGGCAGAACCCGGCGGTAGCGCGGCCGCCGGGCCCGGGGACGGCTGGGGGACCGGGCCCCCGACCGACGCGGAGGCGCTCATCTCGACGCAGCGGCCGCCCAGCGGCGGGGCGCACGTCCCTCCAGCATCCGCCGCCGGCTCCTATCCACGACCTGTCGAGCCCCTGCAGCCTAGGGACCGGCCACCCGAGAGGCAGGGCTGCTCGGTCCCCGCGCTGGTCGCCGCCGCTGGCTAAGGAAGAGCCATATTACCGCAGTGCAACCCCTCCACCGGGCCGAGTCCTGGCGCGCTCATTGGTTCCGCTCTTAGGGAGGCGGAACCCAACGACAACCAAAGAACGTGCTATTGGTTAGCAAGTATATCCATCGCCGGCCGGAATAAGCAGGGGGCGGAGGGACTCGTGGATGGCCTCAATTGCGTCTGTCAAGCCGGGGTGAAACCTGGGGCGTTGCTTCTTTCTGTCCTAGACTGATTGGTTGTTTTGCTATCAAGGGGCGGGGTCTCCCGGCAGAGCCGCAAAGGCCATTCCTCTAGTTGGCTGTCAATTGTCAGTAAAGGAATAAGGGGCGGGGTCTTGGTTAGGTAGATCGCGCGCCTAGGCTTTGGTGTCACGTGCAGAAGGCTGGAGAGTCACCTGATTAGGGAGAATCAGTTTTCTGAGCCACTTCCGCCCTAACCTAGTTGCCATAGTAACGGGTCTCCGGCGGAGGGCGGGGACTCGCTCCGTAGCAGATGGGTCGTAATTGTTAGCCTGCCATTCTAGGCTTCTCGAAATGTTTTTCCTCGGTGTTCTCATCAGCTGAAAAGGAATGCTTTATGTTTCAGCAGGGCCACCATGTAGGATGTATTGAGCCCAGAGACCGGTCAGACAGTAACACCAGCTCTTACAAGACCAACTCCAACCGCAAGTCCACGCCTTCCTCGCGTTCCACTAATATGATGAACCACAAGGTGCGCCAGCCGCCCTGGACGCTGTTTCATCTCTGCGGGTGGGTTGCTTGTACTGGGTTACTTTTCTCTGTCTGACTAATGCTAACTCACCCATCAAATCTCAGCTGAGGGAAAAGCTCCTTCCAAAAGGCTTCGCTGATCTTCTCTAGGACCCTGCCTTAGGAAGTTTGTAATCCTGATAGTTCTACTGCGTTTTTTTAATAAACAGTAACACACATAAGCAACTACCCTGCTTTCCCAACCCCTGCCACACACACACACACACACACACACACACACACACACTGAATTCCTCAATCAAAAGGACGTTGTCAGATTCATCGCTAGATCCTCAGTGTCTGAGAGAAGAGAATTAGGATTTTTTTTAATGTGAAGGTGCAGCCCTTTCCTCCGTGTAGACTACTTTGATCATAAAATAATAATGTCTATAACAGTTGCTTCTGTAATAAATAGCACTGAATCATTCTGCAGGATATTAATCTGCCTTCTACACACACACACACACACACACACACACACACACACACAAAACTGAGATTCTCTCCACCACCTCAACTGATGTAGCAAAAGGAACACCGTATTTTAGAGCCTGACACAAAAGAAATCAGGCACTTTTGGAATCTTGGCTCCCAACTTCTAGTTTTGTCCCTAAGCAAGTCAGCCACCCACCCCACAGCTTTAGTTTTCCTTTTCATAAGACAATAACAGGGATGCTATTGGGATTCAGTAGGTAAATATATGTAAAGTGCTAGTGCAAGACCTGGCATATAATAGATGCATTAAAATTTTGTTTTAGCAGGCAGGGTGTGTAGCTATTCAGTGGTAAATAGGTACTTAGCAAGTGCAAAGCCCTAGCTTCAATATTTTTTTTTAAGTTTTTCAAAAAAGGTAAGCTCACTGGCTTCCTAAAAACCACCTTGGATGTGATCTCAGGGTTGGATCACATGGATATCACACTGTTTCCTATTCTGAAACATTGAGCAGTTCCTCACAATGAAAGCCTCAGATGGGCAGTCATGTGTTTGTTGAAAGGAAAGTAGTTGAGAAATCCAAAATTTCATCTAGTTCAACTCAGGCAGCGCCAAGTTCTGTGGATCTGCATAGAAAACACATTTCTGAGCCGGGTGTGATGGCGCATGCCTGTAATCCCAGCACCTGGGAGTCTGGGTCAGCAGGATCGCTGGGAGTTCAAGATCAGCCTGGGCTACATAGTGAGTTCAAGGCCAGCCTGAACTATGTAATAAGAACCTGTCTCAAATAAAGAAAAAAACACATTTTCTAAGCCACATTTGTTTGCCACATCAAATTGCCATTAACTATGTGGCTTAAAACAACAGAAATTTATTCTCTCACAGTTTTGAAGGGCAGAAGTCCAAAACCAAGGCACCAAGGTACTCTTTCCTTGCTCTTTCATCTGCTGAAACTCAGCCCGCTGCTGTAAAGTTTTAGTGAAAATGTATATGAATTATTTAACACAGTGTCTTAAATATAGCAAATGTTCAATAAATGCCACCTATCATTTTTGTCTTATTCTAAAAAATCTTCTGTTATTTCAGTTTGCATTCTATTCCATAATATGGCTGTTTCAACATAAAGCTATTTTCAATTACTTAAAATTAAATTATATTTATATAGTGTTATTATATCTCCCAGAGAAATTTAGCCAAGCTAAAAGAACATCGATTATAACTTTGCCAAATACTATAAGATCCATGCAGTGGTGGAAAAAGGCTTAAAGTCAAGTGGTAACAGAGTGACTGACTCTTCAGGAGCTGACAGGCAAGATCAGAGCAGGCTTCCCAGAAGTCTTAAGGGATGACTAGGAGTTTGATAGATAAACAGCAGCAGTTTATATCTGCTTGGATCAGAGATGGCTTGAATATTCTGCTGTAGGCTGATTGCGTGCTCTAAAAATTCATGTGCTGAAAATTTAATCCCCAAATTCTATTTTAATGATATTTAAAGGTGGGGCCTTTGGGAGGTAATTAAGATTAGATGAGGTCATGAGAGTTGGGCTCCCATGATGCTATTAGTGGCTTTATAAGAGGTAGAGAGACCCAAGTTAGCAGCCTTGCTGTATCTCAACGTGTGATACCTCTGCCGTGTTACCATGTAGCCAGAAGGCCCTCAAGGGGTGCCATCCTCTTGGATTTCCCAGCTTCCAGAACCATGAGCCAAAGAAACTTCTAATCTTCATAAATTATTTGTTATCACATTTTATTGTAACAACAGAAATCAGACTAAGATGGTATTGAGATCAAACAGTTTGCAGTACTTAAAGTCAAACATGGCAATCTATTTTGCTTTCTCTCCCTCTTCCCACCTTATGGGGCTGATACACTGGGTGAATCAGAGCAAGATGGGGAAGGTTAATCTTTGGATGTATGAAGCTTAATTAAATTAAATCTGTCCCTTTCCTTTCAGCAGAGCCTCTTTTTCACATTCATTTACTTATTGAGTCACGCACACACTAGGCTTTTGTCAGGTGGTCAGCCTGAGCACTACATTTAGGAAATGAGGCAGACAAATTCCTAACTGAAGGAAGCTCACATATCATCTCAGTGCAAAGTGCTAAGCACAGTAATTGAGATGACATATAAGACAGAACAAAAGGACATATGACAAAATTCTAACTGCAGCCTGCTGTCCACAAAGGCTCCCTAGGAAAGAAAGTATTCGAGGCAGAAGGAATAAAGTGAACAAAAGCACAGAGCAGAGGGCATGACACTGGCATGGCTGAAACAAAGACCGCCCAGGAAAGCAACAGACAAAGAGGCTGCAAGAGGAAGGTGCCACCAGTTGAAAAGAATCTGACTACCTTGCTTAGGAACTTGGGTTTAATCTTGGGCAATAGGAAGTCACTTTTAGAAAGACTGTTCAGGCACCCCTGAAGAGGAAGTTTTGAAAGGGTAGGACTAGAAAAGCCTAAGTCTTGCAGAAGGCCAAGTGAGAAATGTAAAACTAGAAAGAGGCAGTTTCCCAAAGAGCCTGCACATACCCAGCAAGCCTGTAAGACAGAATCTCCCTGGTGGTACTTCTTTCCCTCCAAGGACACTTTTGTGAAAAGCTTCCTAGATCTGAACTAATTACTACTTCCTCTGGGCTCCCACAATGGCTGCCTGGCCCCACTGTAGTATAGATATTTATGTATGTAATCTTACTGAGGAGTTTAGGTTTGTCACTCTCTGCTGTGAATCTTTGCTTTTGATTTTTCTTTGAATTTGCAGTATCCTAACACAGAGGACAGAGTCCATAAGCTGCAATGAATGAATAAATGAATGAATGAATGAACTGAACATTTAGATCACATAGAAGCCTCCTGAGGTAGTCAGCTTTCCATTACTGTAACAAAATACCTGAGGTAATCAACTTAGTAGCAGAAAAGGTTTATGGTTTCAATTGTTTCATTCCATAGTCACTTGGCCCTATAGTTTTGGGTCTATGGCAGCACAGTGCATCATGGCACAAAGAGGCCTCTTTCACTGTAGTCAGGAAGCAAAATCAGAGAAGGAGAAGAGCAAGGAGTCCCAGTATCCCCTGCAAGGGCATGCTCCCAGCAATCTAACTTCCCTGCTTTGGGCCCCACCTACTAAAGGTTCCACCACTTCCTAATAGTGCATGTGCTGGGGACGGATTATTCAACACACAGGCCTTTGGGGACATTCAGGTTCCAGATTATAATACTCCTATGCCTCCCCAAATAGAACAGTCCCAGAGAGAGGAAAGTAGCCTGCCCTATGTGGCACAAAGTTTGTAGCAAAACTGAGACAAAGTTGAGCCTGTTGTCCTCAACACCTGGACTCTTTCCTGGTTGCAGTGTTTTCCACATTGTCACTGACTATTCATGTGCTAAGGTGAAGGGGGGGGGGGCTTTTAGCTGAATGGGCCAGCCAGGGTGACACACAATGAATGCAATGCATCTAATGCTGATTAAGCAAGCTGTGTCCATGGGGGAAAAATAACAACTTTGCTTAGGCAGAAACTTCTACAGTGAGGGCTGAGGGATGCGGAGGGCTCAGGTGGACAAAAGCTGGTGTGAGCAAGAGAAGCAGTGTGGGCTGGAGGAGCAGGAGCGGGGGGCTGTTTCAGTGAGCAGCACCGAGGGAAGTAAAAGACAAGGCCAGGCAGGAGTGGGCAGGAGAGCAGTTGTGCTGAGGTGGGAGAAAAACATGTTAAAAGAAATTGATATTTCAAAAATAAAGTAAATGCAAAGAACTCCTCCCATTTCTTTTACAGTTTATTGCTTTTATTATTTATTGCTTTTGTTTGTAATTTCATGCAGCAGAAGCAGCACTGTCTTTTCAGAGAGTGTCGGCACCGAATTAAGCTGGAGATTCTGCAGGGCGCAGGTCCTGCCAGGCACTGTGGGCCCCAGTGGAGTTTGGA